TGGATCAGGACTATTAATATCTGCTCAGATTTCAGATCAAAAAAACCTTAGTCATTATGTGCATTGCATTAAGATCTCATGAGGACAGCACACATCAGTGGAGATCTCCAGAGATGGTAGCTACCATTCTTGCTACAGTCTGGCCTCCATTTTCTCTTATTCTCTTGTTCCTCCTTAAACTCCTGCTTAAGGAAAATATTTGTTGCCATTGATTTTTTGCATCCCTTTTTACTTCTGGTATCTTAACCTACTGTCTGCACTTGTTCAGTAAATGCTATTTCATATAATGGCGGAAAAAAGAAAAAGACATATTAAAATGTCATTTAATGACACATTTATTTGCTAAATGAAACAAAGAATACAATGGAAATCAAAATCATGTGGAACATGTATCTGTAGGCTGATTGACCTGACCCTCAGGACCAGAGTAACTGCAAAGGCAGATATGAGCATCATTTCTGAAATTAATAGAAGAATTTTTTAAAAAAAAAAAACAAACAACAAACACACACACACACACACAACAGCAACAACAATAAACACATCAAAATTGGCTTGTTTCAGACAAATTATATAACATTTCTCTGTTTGGGTTTTTGTGAGTATTTTAGGTGACATGCTTCTAACAAATCAACATAAAAAATATAAAATATATCTGACTTCATGCAACCTTTTAATAAATAGCATAAAGAAGAGGAAAACAGTTGCAGTAAAAAAAAAAAAAAAAAAAAAGGACAACCAGAGTAGCAGTCCACAATGAGGAAAAAAAAAAAAAAAAAAAAAAAAAACAACGTTTAGCTACTAGAATCAGAAGTATGCATCAGGTTCCATGTGGAAGGAAATACCTGTGACCTAGCAGGATGTGGAGGGTCAGGCGCTCTGATTGCAGATAAGGCTGAGCCAGCCAGCGCACAGTGCATAAGGTCAAAAGAGAGTGGCGTGCTTAGCCCTGCACACTGCTTTAAAGAGCTGCTTGTCAAGGTGTTGATATAAATAGTCCCTTGCTTTTCACATGCACTGGATCCATATCCTGTGCCCATTCTGCACTAGTTTTGGGGGTACCAGAATGAGGGATTTTGTGTGGGAGGAAAATACAGGGAATGAAGCATTTTCTACTAAAACTTATTATACAATGTGGAGTTGCTTAAGAAAATGCTTCACAAAATCATTGGTTATATATACATATATGTATGTGTGTGTGTGTATCTTTTATCCACAGATGTTTAACTTCAGTTTTAGTCATACAGTCAAGGAGCATAAAAAATGATCAGTTGCATCATGGAGTCTCTGAGCAGAACATTATTCAGTCAAGAATGATGTATTGGCAAAAAAAATACATGAAATACTGAAAACATAGCAGAAAAGGGGAGTGTCTAGGGGCTGAATCACAAATTCCTCAAAAATTTACATTTATCCTTTCAATATTGCTTGACAAATTCTACTTCTCATGGTTATTTTCCAAAGTTTTGAAGAATTTTTCAAGACACTTATTTTCCTTTATCTCTAACAAATTCTACCCCTATTGTGAGCTTATGGTGTCCTACATTATACATACAGAAACAAAGCAAAAACAAAAGCAAAACAATATTTCACTCAAAAGCATTCTATTTTCTTGAAAAAAATATATATATATATAATTAATAGAGCTATACAGACACTAAGCTACAGTTCACATCTACTGTATTCAGACTACATTGCTTCTTAATTAAACTGTCCTACCTTCTCCTTCTTTCTGACAGGGGAAGTCTCATACTGGAGAGATCTCTACAAATGTGTATGTTTTTATACAAGATGGAAAAATTGGGGGGGAGGGGGGAATGAACTGCAGGATTTTTTCATTGGGGTTATGATGGCTTCTCAATTTCATAAGCAAAGAGATGCAGAGCCTATCAAATATTTATTCTTGCTCTTTGTTATGTGCTGCTCCTCTTCTAAGAAACCAACCTGTTAGAGAAGAATATTTGGTCCGATGATCATGAATTTTGTATTAGAGTTCTTGGTTTGTAGTTTTAATGCTCAAACAGTTGTTCTTGAAGTACTTTTCCTTAACTAAACAATTGAAGAAATATTTTTTATCTAATTTAGAAAACTTGTGATTTCTATCACAAATATTTATTATTATTATTATTATTATTGTTGTTGTTGTTGTTTGTTGTTATTGCTATTATTGTTATTATTGATATTATTATTATTATGAAGAAGAAACAGGGCTGTTTTCCCAACATCACAGGTAAGGAAAACCATATGGTTCAACAACTACAGAAGTAGCTACACAACACATGAGTAGGAAATAAGCTGGGAAAAAAAAAAAAAAAAAAAAAAAAAGGAAGGAAATTCAGAGTAAGGGTTGAAGGTCCTTCTCCATCAAGTGTATTAAAGCTGCTGCATCCTCAGGTGAATATTGTTGCCAGAGAGCTAATGAAAGTGTCCCTGCCTCTGTCATCTCTCTTTACTACAGTATCCCTGTCCTTATGCAATTGCTCCTTGCCATATGGGCATGCTCTAGCCTAAGCCATGAGCCTAACACTGTACCATCTTTCTGAACCCCAGTGAAAGGGGACACAAATTACTAATCCATTTGGCTTGAGATGGTGGCAATGTGAAGCTGAACCAATCACTCCATCCACTTGCTTTGCAGGGTTTGTTCTCCCACTGGGAGAAATGCTTATTTGATGAGCATGCCAGCAGCCCGGGCATGCTCATCAAATAAGTTAGCAGTCTGCACAGACTCTACAATAGTCTGAATTTGGTGCTTGGTTGTTAACCTACTAAAGATATTAATTGCACTGTGAAAGAAAGGGGGGAAAAAAAGAGGGCGAGGGTGTGGGGAGGCTATGAAAATGTATGACATTGATTTGGTAAAGGAAAGTGAATGTGTTGGTTAAATACATACTCTGGTATGCATACTTTTGGGATAACAATCATTATTTATTGGTTAGACATTTATGGTTTCTTCAGAAATTTTATCATTATATATATTAATTCTTGGACACCTCATAAAAGTATAGATTTGACAGTGTAATAGTCCATTAAAAAAAAAAAAAAAAAAAAAAAAGCTTCAAGAACTGAGCTAGAGATTTGGTGGTTTCCCATCTTAATGCAGCGCCACTCAAAAATACCAGATCCAGGTTTTGAGACCTTGAATGGACTTTCATGATATGAAATCAGAAACCAGTCCTTCTTCTTCCTTCCTGAAAGCACATGTTAAAAGTGGATTGCTAATTTGATACCAGGTTAATCCAACTGCTTCCACTCCATATATACATTTGGTGAATTTGAAAGCCTTTATAAAACATCCCTAACAGAAAACGCACAATGAAAGTTCCCAATACAATCAATTTCAGCTATGCAATTTTTCCTCCTCAAAGTACCATGAGAGATAATGTATTAATCTCTTAAATTCCTATTTTCAAATCAAAGCTTTTTATGGTTTTAGTTATTTAGTTGCATGAGGGCAGAGAATGTCTTTTATCACCTTTTAATACATTTCATACCTGTATAACATAAAAAAGCAGATTGGGCCAAATGTTCAGCAAATTAGGGGAAAAATATTGGTTTTGTTGTTGTTTATAAGGTGAACTTTAAACGTGTGAAAATATTTTAAGATAAAAATACTGTCATTCATCTATATGTAGGAAATACTCCAAGCAGACTTCTGCAACGAGATGGGTGCATATTGTTTTGAATAACATATTAATAAATCCAGCTCTAAATAGTGGTGGTGTCTGTGAAGGAGAGCCAGGAAACTTATACACTACCTCAATAATTAACATTAAAAGGAGCTGCAGCTCAGAATATTTACCACTGTATTTCCGATTTGTAGGTAGAGTCCATAACAAAATAATAATAACCTGAAATGAAAATCCACACCTGTGTTCATACTTACATAATGTTGTACTAATTAGGTTTGTCACAGAACCTAATGCTTTGGAAAAGCAGTTTGTTGTTTATGAAAAGAAATTATTAAGAAAACTTCTTAACCTTGTAGAATTCTAGTCACCACTAATTGCTGAGTTCTATGAAAAACAAATATTGGATATTTGTAAGATTTTCTTGTACTTCTTCCTTAATGCTCTAATGTGAAATTGCTATTGTAAGATCCAATTAAGCTTGTTGGCCAAAAAATAAAATAAAAAAAAAAATGTTTGTGAGTTTTTGGGTACACGTTGTTGTTGTGTTAGTATCTTTCAAAGATTTTTTTTTTTTTCTTTTTGCTTATGCTCCATTTACAAAGGGGCAAATGATTGAATTCGCTTCACTGAATTGAACTTATACAGCTTCCTGCTGAGTTCTGGGGAGCATTTATGGAACACCACCTGGAGGGCAGCTGCTCTTTTCTCCTAGCCCTGAATATCATTAAATTTCAACAGCAACATGACACACTGTAGAAAATTTTGTTTTAAGGCTGCACTCCTCTGCGCTGTTGTTGTCAAGAGTGAAGAGAAGGGGGGTGCTATTCTCGAAAAAGATAGCAATAGTTTTCATTCCTTGTCTGCAAGTGCCCATGACCAGGAAAAGCAGGATGACTAGAAGTATAAAAGGCACTTTTTTTTTTTTTTTTTTTTTTTTTTTGAGGAAGGAAAAAAGAAAGAAAAAGGCATGCATTTCAAAACACTACATCATCTAAATGTAAGTACCTATCCTTATCTTGCACATGTGGCTGACATTGGAGCTGCCCTAAGAACTCATTTTCTTGTAACTATTTGCTTAAGCATTTCACTAACAGATGAAACCTGAAGAGAACATTGTAGTAAAATGCTGTGAAGCACTGCTTCATGCCTATGCCTTCCAAAAGGGGCAAGTATCTGTGGCTTAGATCCTTTCTGTATTTTGCACACTTTAAACTGTTTATATATATATATATAAATTTTGTTTATATATATAAATTTTTGTTTTCATTATAATTAAGAAACCTTTTCTATTATGAGCAGAGGTCAGATGGGATCAATTTATGGCTGCTTGCCTTTATTGCTGTGCTTTAATATTTTTTCCTTCTCTAGTTTCTACCCTGTAAGTGCCAATCCCAATCTGAAGCAAGAACTGCATCCCATCAGGAATTCCAGCCTATAGCCCAGCCATTTGTATGCTTCTCATATTCCCTGAAGTCCACATAAGTCATCTTGCTGATACTAGCAGGAAGCTGGCTGAGTGATTGGAAATAAAAATCTATATACAGTAAGTGTTATTAATGTGATTTCTTTGCTTAGTGCCTTGATGTAAAAAATCTGTATTATTAATTAACTCCTATTTCTGCACACTTCAACCTCTACATTTTGCTTCTCTATATGTTGTACGTTTTCTCCTTATTCTGTTTCACATTTACATCAACACCCAATTCTCTTCCCTTTTCTCCTTAGTTAACCACTGAAACTCCTAATAGCAATACTAGTGTGGTCTCTGAAAAGAGATGGAGTGCTGAACAGTTGGTTACCAATTAATATTTTTCTGTAATACAAATGATTGACATTTTCTTCCAAAGCAAAATCCAGAAACATGTGATTTGGTCAAAATCATTATGTTACTGGAAAACAAACAAGCAAACAAACAAACAAAAAAAAAGACTTTAAAACATCAGTGAGAAATTACTATTACAAACAGAACAATCTTGATAAAAAAAAAAAAGCTGAATAAACATTAAATTCCTATTTCTTGTTGAATTAATTTAGAAGTGTACTTAAAATAGAAATATATATATATATATATAATTTATATTCAAATTTAAATATCTGTGCTCTTACATTGACATGTTTAAATCAGACCTTCTCATAGTGCTTTTCCTGAACAGCAGGTCATCCTTAAGTTCCATTTTATCTGGGTACTCTTTCAAAATTCACGCTGACTACAAGTATCTGCACCCTAGGAACAATGAAGGACCACAGGCCTTCACACAGAAGAGTGACTTTACCGGAATTAGACTAAGTGGTTTAACAGTACAAAAACAGTAGAAGTTTTTGCTGCATGGCTGCTGGAAGTGACTTATACTAAACGTTCTTATAGGAAGAAAATTTCATATTTGAAACAACGTTAACCTTTGAGTATTAGTCTGAGGACCTGATGGGGATCAATGCTGGCAAATCAGCTGTGACCACTGAGATTATACAGAGTAAGGGCTACAGGACTTCCTGCTAATTTGCAAGCCCAGATCCAAATACAAAAACAAACAAACAAACAAACAAAAATGTTTTCCTAGGACAACAAATAATTAGCCATCCTGAAAGCCAGGGCAGGGGGCATGTAGGAGAGAGGCATAATGTGAGGATGCTAAACTGCTCTCTGAAGACAAACAATATTTCTTAGGATTGGGCCCACATTTTCCAAGCTCAGTGCTCAGGAAAACTAGAAAGACTTTTTCTGTATTACAAGAAAACTCATACTTAGTGAAGCCATTGAGTCTGTCTATATTTCTTCTGCTACAGCAATCTTGCTGCAAATGAAAACCTGTATCCGATGAACACCAAATAATGGATTTTCAAACTAGCACTGAAATGGAAAAGATCTTTCTGGGTAAGACTTGTGTCTAGATAAAATGTAAATTCAATCACTCTGTGAAGTGATTCTGAATAATCAGAAATGCATACAGCCAGTAAAATACATTACCAGAATAACACAGAAATGGAACATGACAATATTTTCTTTTTCTGCTTGAGGATAGAAGTAGACGGTTCTCCCAGATAATAATCCTGTTTCAAGAGAAAACTGTTTACCTTAACATAAATAAATAAATAAGCGTGCTTCCAGTTTAATCTGTTTCACTAGTTGGGTTGATCTTTACCCTGGCTCAAAATGGGAACAATTACATTGTAAAAACTATCTTTTCAAACACGACTTCTCTGTGTACATATTCAGACTCAAGGTCTGTGTGGTGAAGAATCCATAGGACTGTAATCAGCAGGACTATTCCTGTTCTGACAGGCTCACTGTGTAGTCTTAGGTAAATTATCTTGCCATTGGGTCACATCTTCCACTCCATCTTTTGTTCGTTTATGCCTAAATTGTCAAAATAATAACTTAGAGAGAAGTCTGAATTTGTGTATAGCAGCTCAGCTATACCCTTTCTTCTCTTGCAGTTTGGGAAACAAAGAAGAAAGGAGATATGAAGATGTGCGAAGGGGCTAAGCACAATTCTACTAATCTCATTCACACGAGAGATGATTCCTTGTAGTAAATCTACCCTACAAGGTGAGGAACATCCTGGACTATGTTTGTACCTGAATGGAGGCTTTGGGTAGAAGCCAAGGATTTGGGTCAAGTCTATGATAAAAAAAAAAAAAAAAAAAAAAAAAAAAAAAAGGCTTCCTCCATACACTCATTAACCAGCAGCACATATATTCCTGTAGGTAACACAGACAGTGGGTAAATCAGGTCCTCACAGCTAATGCACAAAACATAGATGGGGAAGTTGTTTCTAGATCCCTGTACCATCCCTTTCTGACCAGTACCAATGGTGCAGGGAGAACCCCAAAACTACAGTTCCCTTCTCTAAATTGCTGATAATAATTCCTTACCTCAGATGCCAGCTTGATGTGAGATATAAACTGCTGTGCAAATAGCAAGTGAAATTAATTATTAATTTATGGTTTATTATTGATTGAGCATTTTGTCAAACAAACCATATGATAAGCTGTAATAAACACTTTCTATTTGCTGCTCTGACTTACAATTCCTAGTGCGGCAAAACTGAAAAATAAGATCAAGTCTCAGCTGACTTACAAAGATCATTAGTAACCATGTCTTGTATGCAAGAACTGGATTCGGGCCATGCTGACACAAGACAATCAGTTTTCTATACTTGCAGAATGCTGTAATGAAATGCCCGATTTGATGAAGTTAGAGGCATTATGATATTTTCATCATTGTGTAATAAAGCATCAGGAAACCGTCAAGCCTCTAATGTTATTGAATACGTTGGTGGTGTTAATACAGTGTGCAGTTTGCAATGTAAAAGAAGGCTAGGGGAAGGAGAAGGACAAACAGTTTGATTTTTGGTTTAAAGTGAACAGTCTTTTCCAAGTTAATATGTTCATCACCATCATAAAACAATTGGTACAGACATGGTTTTGCATACACCTGGGACTTCCTGGCATATTTCAAAAATAAGACAAAGCAGATAGAATAAGGAAATGTTTCCCATTTCACTACAAATCAAAGGTTATTAGAAGGAATTGTATCATTTATTTATTTAGTTAGTTAGTTACCTACTTTTTGGTGAATATTTAGTGATTTTATTGGACATTCTTTTAGAACCCAAAAGAACATGAGGTAATTTTCATAAGAATTAGCAATGCACTTTTATATGCATGCACATTTGCAGTTATGTAGTGGGTTTTATTTTAAGGCTATTATCCAATTTCACAACAAATTAATAGAAATGGAAAATTAAAGCCAGTATCAACTGAAGTGTTTCTTTCCCAGAGTCCCAGTCACACTCAGCATATTTAATTCATTCCTGTGAATTCAGCAGGGCTTTGTGTAGGAATAAAACAAACAACATTTCTATGTGCCTTCATTGTTAGCTACTGTAGAATTTCTAGTGACTGCTGATATTATTTATTACTAGGAGGCCTGTTTGTTTGTTTTCCATTTGGAAAAAAATAAGCAATGAAACATTTGTTAAATTTATTTCTTTTTGAAACAATGGTAATAGAAAGATTTACATAGGCATAACAAAACAAGGACATAAAGAGCTTTATAAAGAGCTTCATATAACCTTTCTTTTTTTTTTTTTTTTTTCTCTCTCTAAATATATACAAGCAATAGGAATATTATGTGGTTTGCTTCTTTGTTTAGCAATGAAGCTCTAATTTCCCTTTCCAGTGTACAGCTGTTACCGTGCTTTCACTAAGATTTTGCTAGTGCAAGCCCAGGCTCAGGGTTGCCAGCAGGAAAAGTCTGCCTGAAGAGAGAAGTCCAGGCAGCCCAAGAAGCCCAAATCCCAAGCTTTTCCAAGCAGAGCTCTGCCAAGAGCAGGCAGAAGTAGCTCATTTGGGAACACAGCCAGGGCACCTGGTGGATGCATCCACACATCACCCCCCAGTGCTCTCACAGTTCCCAGATTAAAAGCACTGCAAAGCAAACCTTGGACTTGTTCCCTGGTGAGGAAGACTCCTGTCCGATCTGATAGGAGAGGTCATGTTATGGCCATGCCATGTATCTTCAACTATGTGACTAGGGAATGACATGGGACAAGGTATCATTTAAGAGCAAGGCCCTTCTTAACAAAACTCTACAGAATTTTGCAGAATCCTGTTCTCTTCACGAGCCCTGCAAATGAAAATTCTTTCATGCAAATGTTGCAGAGTGTTGCTCAATAACTGTATATGCAAAGGGCAACCAATCCCGCAGGTCCCGCACGCAAGTGGGACATGAGACTAAGTGTCTTCTCTGCGGTTTACGAGTTTACGTTGTTTTCTCCTTCAGGGCATTGAAGCCAAAGAAATTAACTTGTTTCTGTTTGATAGGTTCAAATGTTATTTGGTTGTAAGTGATGGTCAGGACAGTACAGCTGCTCCACTTTTCCTTAGTAGGGAGGAAGAGGTAAATGATAAATCTCTGCGTGTGTGTGTGTGTCTTTTCAACTGTGAACATGCTTTATATCTCTAACAGGCATATTGGTGCAATGTACACAGCTATACCACTGTTACACATTTTTGTTGAGCCCTTGCTAAATTTTCACCTTCAAAGAAACCTGCTGGATTGAATATATATTTTTTCTCACTAAAAATAATAAGCAAAAATAATGCAATAACCATTATTATTATTCAACAGTTGATAAAGAGAAGCTTTAAGCATATAGCATAAATTAAGTATGTAATATAATAAATCCCATGTGACTCATAAGTAGTTTCCACCTAAGCAGGTTAACTTGCGCACATACATGTATGAGTGTGAAATATTATACAATGAAACCTGTGTGCCCTAGGAGACTACCCTAGGGTACTGACAAATACTTTACAACATCAAATTACCCATATTAAGCAAACTGGCTCTGCTATTTAACCAGAGATGGTCTATAATTGGTGCAAGGTACAACATTTTTTCCCAAGAGACCTGCTAAAACACTATGGATTTCAATGTCTATAGGCCAACAATATACATTTATAGCATTATTAATAAATTCTGTCACTTTGAATCATTTTGAATACTTTGAAAGATTTCCTATTAAGCAAACAAACAACAAAAAGAACTTTAAAAATAATTACTTTCTTTTTAATTTCATGTAACTGTCTGTTGAATACTTCATTAAAATTAAGCGCTTTTTATTTTTTTTTTTTTAATTCACACATATTTCAGGTTTTCAGGTAGAAACATGTAAGCGGCTCTGTTTATGCAGACTTAGTAACAGTAATTTGTGATACCAAATAGCTTCAATCTAATCTCTAATGGGATTCTCTTAATTTTTATTTATTTTTTTTTTCAAGTACAATTTTCAGACACTTTTAATAAGAGACATCACTTCTAAATTGTTCTCCTGCCCTGAAAGTGATTTGGTAAAAATGGCACTAGGGGCTCCAGATTCATTATCACACTGATTTTCCTACCCAATGAGCTCAGTTTGCAAGTAAATTTCTAACTGCCAGCTGCACAAACTCAGCCTGAGTCCTGGATCCCTTCCATCTCATGCATCACCACGAGTAATAAATATCCTGTATGCCAGAATATGCCCTCCATGGCATCTGTGCAGTCCCAGTGCCATCCATGAATTTGCACAGGTGTTGCTGGGGGCAGACGTTCAAATCAATAGGGTTACACACAAGTGGCTGAGGAAATGATCTGTCAAACAGAACTGCTAGTACTGCAATGATCTGTGGGATGGAAGGAACCCAGCCTGACTTACAGAGCCTCGGAAAGGGTTTAGTCTCACAACTAGGAACAAAATAATTATTCTGTCTTGCAAACAAAAATTCTAAAAAAGTTGCAGTGAATGTGGCACATCCCAACATTATTTTTATGCCATTTCTTAGAGCATATATAATGCCCAAGGAACACATATAGAGCTTTTTTCTTTGTTTGTTTGTTTATTTTTGGTATTTTGTTGCTTTTTTTTTTTTTAATTTTTATTAAAGAGCTATCACTTTGTTATCAGAATGACATCATGAAAAATGTTATCTTGGTATCTTAAAATATCTCCTCGTCTAAAATCAAAGGTCTGTGAAAAAATGACCTGTCCATAAAGCCCCAGAAAAACGATGCTGTTTTGCAATAATATTTTAGGGGGGTATAGGAGAGCAACAACACACTTTAGTGTGCTAGTTTCTGTCCCATTAAGTCAATTCCAGCCCTCCGCCTTTCACACAACACACCAGATTACTAACTAATATGCTTACTAACTGCTCAATTTGGAACTCCTGGGTTGTTTCAGTTTATGAACAATGCCTATGGTTTGTCTTTGCTGATCATGTTTTAAAAACATTGGTCAAAGGATGTTGTTGGAGCTACCTACAAGCAGCGAGCAGTTCAAAAGCAGGTCTCTGGTCAGATCTCTGTTACGTGACCAGGCACAGACTTGCATGTCAGCTGGTGAGTCCAGAAGCTTCTGGAGTTTCTGAACCCTCATCTCCAGAAGGAAGTGAAGAAGGAAGAGATGATCCTGCTCACACTGACAACTTCACTGTGCCTCTGCTGGACCCCTGAGGCAACCCCATCCAGCAGCAGAAGGCCACCCTGCTTGGAAAGTCCCCACATCCTGTACTGGCCCACCAGAGATCCAGTACCATACTCACCACAGATCTCTGAAGCAAGTATTTTTGGCAAAATAAAGATTTCCGCACACAAAATTAAAGTTAAGTATATCTGGATACTTTACTCTTTATTTAATTTATCTGGATTTTCATAAGACTAGTTTAGTAATCTCAGATGTTTACTCCATTTCAATTAAACAAGTATACTTCACCTCTCATTCTGAAATTTGGTTGTTACACATGGTGGTTCTGGGTGCCTACATACCTTCATTTCCAAAGAAAAGGCTTTGTGGAAATCACAATCCTATCAATTTCTACTCTAAGAACACAGAGGTGGCT